CAATCTCCGCATGTTTTATCTTGAGCTTCCTTGCTTAGGGAGGAGTTGCATGATGCATCTTCCCAGTTCCTTTTAGATTATTTTCATTTGAAGATTTTTACTGATTCAGTAGTAGTACATGTGATGGTAATTAGTGATATCGGTGTTTACTTAACAGGTGATTTTGATATCAACGCATGCCGATCACAGTCAGAATGGCGAGAGATGCAGTGTCTGAGCACAAAAAAAAGGTCTTGGTTAAGTCGTCGACTGCTTTTGCTTTTAAACTACATTTGTTCACAAACTAATTAAGGGTTTTTATGCCAAGATCTTTGTTTAATCTTTTTTCGTGTTTTACTTATCTCTCGAAGCAGATTCGCTGCTTTTGAAGACAGTTAAGGTTTCAGGGCGAGAGGAAAATACCCCAGCGTTTGCCTACATGTCTGGTCGCGTAGCTGCATTCCGTGAATAGTTCGACCAGCTTAGCATTTTAAGTGTGCGTGTAGCATCGAGTTAACGCGTCCCACTAAAGCGTTTAACTGAGACGTTTGTGGGTATGTGCCGTTACGGGAGAGGTGTATCTCACGTTCACCTCCAGTTTATTTATGTTGCGACTGATAGAGGCTCTGCACGCACGAGTGTGAATAGGTTTTCAATACTTTTGCGCGCTGTTTGTTCGCTGCTTCTCATTTACGTTGAATTTCGTCCAGTTTTTCGTTTGTATATGTTTTGCATATGCTCAGTTATATCGGCAACAGCAAGTTGTTATACATTATCAGTCGTGTTATACATAATTAACAGTGTTATAATGAATTAATTAATCGTTCTATACGTGTGCCATCCAAAACAACAAAGATATCAACAACCTGCATTTCTTTTTTTTTTTTAATGCAATGATTATTCTGTGTTCAGATCTTTTGACTAAAATCGGGAACATACTGTGCATATTTCTGATTTTCTCGTATTTCTGAATCGAAGTCGCAGATGTCCAACTCCCCAGCTGCTAACTCCTACCTGTCTTTTTATTTAACATCAGTTTTATGGTGACCTACATATTGGATGCACGTTCAGAATTCGTATGCAGCCACAGCATGAGCACAACGTATTCGGTACTTTATATAGCATCTGATGCTATTCTGAACCATTAAAATATCTGAACTTTCAAAATATCATCGGTTTAATACAATTCTACGTACTCGCAATTCTACGTACACCATTTTCTCTCACGTTTCACACTTACCAGAACTATCATACGCTATCACAATAAACACTTCTCTCGAAATTTACCCCTTCGTCCTATTTGCCACCATACACGCATCACCATAAAAGTCACCATCACCACCATTTCTTCCCCGAACCCGCACCATCTCCGGGACGTATCAGCTGTTACAGTCACCATCAGGAAGGCCAACGACTTCCGTGTGATGAGTCATTTGATATTATCTGGTGCTTTAGTAAGGTCAGTCTACACTGGGCATTCGCTGTTTCTCCTTGGCCTCTGTCTTTCCTTTTCATTCTCCTTTCGTCTTCGCTTTTTTTTTTTTTCTTTCGTTTTTTAAAGATTTGTTTTGATTTTCTTTCCTTCCGCTGACTTGATTTAGCTTCATTACATCTTTTTTGTGTTGTCTTTTTCTTTCCTTTCTCATCTAATTTGTTTATTTTGTATGCATAATTTCCTTCACCCTCTTCTCTCCGTCATTTAATCTCACTTATTTTATTCCACTATATCCATTTTTTTTCTACATGCTGTTCCTTCTTCCTCTTCCTTTCATCTTAGTATGGCGTATTTCTCTTCTTCCTTTTCCGTCCTTTTCTTCTTTTGTCCTCTTTTCTTCCTATTTTTTTCTTTCTCACATTCCGACCCGCTGGTATGCATCGTAAACTGTTCTCTTTGCATAAACACCATTAGTTTCAAAGTCCCAAATCTGCCACTCTGGTATGGCAAAAAAGGAGTTATTATGATAAAATACTGATAAAATATTCTGGTGACATTTCATATATAATAATGATACATATAAATTCATAATAATAATGTTTCTCTTTTACCATAATATTGTAATATGATAACGTTAAATGTGTTGCTTGATATAGTTGCATGCCGGCCTAGTTAATATATATGTAGCTCCATTCCATTAGCATCGTATGTAAAGAAAACCATGTCGGCAATTAATTCTATTACAAGGAAAATTTCGCAATGTTCGGTACCCTGGTTTATACATCTATATCCATATCAACGTGAAAAAAGTGCAAATCCTTTAATGGTCGATTCTTTGTTTACTTCTAACGCCACCCATGCGCCTCCATTTTTTTCCCATCATGCTCAGCAAAATAACAAAACATCGACATGCGCAAAATAAGAGAGAAAATAATAAAATATCATTAGTCCATGCAAACTAATGATACACTCATGAACGTATACAGACTGTCAGATACAACTTGAGGCAAATAGTGTGTATGTTCCTCCTTATCACCTTAAATGTCCACAACACATTTCCGCAATATTCCCAAATACCTGTGTGTTTATACCATCCATACAATCTTAAATACCATCCATATTTTATATACCATCCATGTGTTTATATACCACACATACCATGACAAAGTTCTATGCTATACCAGTATTTTTTCTTAATACCTGATATTATCTTGAGCAAATTTCTGTTATGTTCCACACCGACTATTCTCACTATAGATTGGTAAGATATATTACTTAATAACTGATATTCCCTTTTAGTACCAGCTACTTTAGTGCCTTTTAAATGGTACGACATTGATATTTTTGTCTAAGGTCTGTAAAAAAGCTGTGAAAAAATATATGTATATGTATGCATATATATACTTATATACATATATACATGTATATAAATGTGTATATATATGTATATATATATATATATATATATATATATATATATATATATTAATATGTATATAAATGTAAATATATAAATATATATATATATATATATATATATATATAATATTTAAATATATCTATATATATTATATATATACTCGCATTAAGTATGCATGTATGCGTGTACAGTATGTAAGCATATAAGTATAACCATTATATACTGTACATTCACACATCTTTCCAAGTCTAAACAGCGCATTATGAATTGTCTCGAAGCGACATGTTTATGATGATCTTTGACGTCATTGAGGCCACGACCCTCGCCCGTCGTCACCCTCAGAACGACTTCCATTTCGGAGGAACAGACCACACACGCGCAAGGACCAATGAAAACGTTATGTTTACAAAACGTTTGCTTCGATTCCATGTGTGTCCAACTGTCCATGCATGTCTCTGCTTCCTCTCCCCATTTTCTGTGTCTGTCTCTGTCTCTCTCATTCTCTGTCTCTGTCTCTCTCTCTCTCTCTCTCTCTCTCTCTCTCTCTCTCTCTCTCTCTCTCTCTCTCTCTCTCTCTCTCTCTCTCTCTCTCTCTCTCTTCTCTCTTTCTCTTCTCTTTCTCTCTCTCTCTCTCTCTCTCTCTTCCTCCTCCCTCCTCCCTACCCCCCTCTCTCTCCTCTCTCCTCTCTCTCTCTCTCTATCTCTCTATCTCTCTATCTCTCTCTCTCTCTCTCTCTCTCTCTCTCTCTCTCTCTCTCTCTCTCTCTCTCTCTCTCTCTCTCTCTCTCTCTCTCTCTCTCTCTCTCTCTCTCTCTCTCTCTCTCTCTCTCTCTCCCTCTCTCTCCCTCTCTCTCTCTACTTCTGCCGCTTTAAGTACTTGTCCATTAGCTGTCTGACAGCGTCTAATCTCTATATGGATTCGCGTGTGTGTCAAACCGTCGCAGCCAGATCAGCATTCACACCCAACTTTAGGGGATGTTTAACGACAGCAGACAACAAGGCAGTTAAAACATTATACACAAGCCGGACGTTACTATATCAGTTAACACTTGAATCATCTTTCGTTTGTCTTTTACGTTTTTTTTTTTTTTTTTCTTTTCGAATTCGACAAGATCCCAAACCAACAAGATAGTGCGACTACACCATACATCCTTTTCCTCCCAACAGCGATAGTAGGACGTCGGGGAACAGGTGTTGGTGAAGGCGAACCACCTCCTCACCCCCACTTCTCCTCCCATCCCTACCTCCCACCTCCACCCTCTTCCACCCTGTCCATCCACCCTCTCTTTTTCTTCCCTTCTGATTCCTCACCCTTTATCTTCTCCCACATTATCCCTCTTTTATGCATCGACTCAGCGAAGTGTGAAGAGGGAAACGGAAGAACGCGGAGAACAGCCTAAAAGATAGTTACGTGCAAACTGCCGGTAAGCTGTTACCTTGCAAGACGACTGCGAGTATATTACATATTCAAGACGTAAAAACACGATTATAAAAAAAATGCAGACATTAGTTTTACATGATATAAATGCTTCTATCTCCTTGATTTTATTCATGATAATCACTTTACCAGCCGCAGGTGTATACGATCTAACGTGGGAATTGCATATATACGAGTAACATTTTCGAACAAAACAAACATCAACGACCACACACAAACTGATATTTATACGCACCCCCACTGCATTTGTCTTTTCATCAGATGCAAATTAACTCGAAAGACCAAAAACTCGTACTGTGTGTTTTTCTATACATTTCTTGTACGACTTCCTAGACGTGTGACGTTAGAGTTCAAGTACGAAACATTTAGAAAACGCTGAAACAACACGCCAGCTAATTGTCTTTATCAGGCGTCATAAAGCACGAGAAGCAAGCAAGACAGGCAAACAGCCTTTGTGTTGACTGTTCTGGATTCCTGCGGAGCTACCAAGCACTTTGTCTTTAGCAAATCTGTCATCTGTGACAGCCTCATTAATCGGGTCATTTTTAGCCTGAATGACGTATTGCTATTTTCACGCCAGCTTAAGTCCTCGCTGGCGGTGAGAATTCCTTTTCCGTTGTCATAACTGTCATTTGTCACCGTAATCGTTTCCCTGTGTTTATTGCATGAACTGGGTTCGTATTTTTATTTGAGTTTCTTATCTTATCTCAGTTTTTCACTCGTTTACG